TGACCCAGGCCTGAATTCCATCTCAGGGGCTGAGATGGCAGGCCCAAAGTTTTCAGACACTGATTCCTTAGCAGTATTGAAAAGACAAAGCACTGAGGCTTATGAGTAGTAGACTGAAAGATGACAAGTCCAATTGTCCCTCCCACTAGACTGCAAGAAGGTCCCTAGCTCAGGGACTGCCTGTTGGTGTCAGCATGTTCCTGGGGCCAAGCCTGAAGTCACCACATGAAAGGAGCTCAGTTAATTGTTATAGATGGAGCTCGAGTCCCTGTGAGCAAGGGGCACTAAAGACATTCCTGCTTATTGCTAAATTCTGTCCACCCACTTTCTAACAGGAGTTGAGATGGTGACTCCACTTCACAGTTTATAGATGAACTCATCCACTAAGAAGTGCGCGTTGGCTTTTTGATGTGAATTTTGGGGTGGTTATGATTTTGTAGGGTGTTCTTGTCCTGATAGGCTCAGCATAGGAGGGTAAGTTGGCTGGAGCAGTTGGCTGTGTCAGATGTTGGATATTGCCTTCTGAGCTTACAACAGGAACTGCACCCAGAAGTGTTGTCCCTGGGCAGGTGGTGCGGGTAGCTGGGTGCCCGAGATTGCAGCTCCCTGGTCTACTCAGCATCATCCTGTCGTGATAACACAAATGAAGTCGCTCATTCTTGGATTTGACATATGTTTATTGAATTCCAACTCTGTACCCAGCCTTATTTTGGGCATTGGGGATAGATGTGAGTAAAGACAGAGAAAGTGGAGAAACAGGTAAATCACATGCCAGGTGCACACACCTCTGAAGAGCAGTGAGGGCAAGGGATAGAGATACTGCCTTGGGGACCATTTTAGATTGGTGGCCTGGGGAGGGGGGTGATGTTTGAGCAGAGAGCCATGGGAGTATCCAGAATGGATAGAACTCCAAGAGGAGGAGGTGGCATGTGTGGGGACCCTGAGGCAGGAGCAGACTTGACTAGGCTCCCAGGCCACGTGGGCGAGGGAAGGGGGCAGGGAGATGAGCTTGGAGAGTGAGCTGTCTTGGCACCAGGAGAGCGTGGCTGGGCAGGGTGCAAACGTGGGATTTTATACTAACTGTGGTGGTCATGTTCAGAGGATTTTGAGTAGGGGGTTAGAGTTATGCTTTCTAAGTGATGTTCATCTTGTATGAAGAGTTGGTTGTAAAGGAACAAGCATGGAAGACAAGAGATTGGTTAGGAAGGTGGGACAGTTGTCCACTGTAAGGTCAAGATGGCATGGACCCAGGCCAGGCAAGGAAGTTGGTGCTGCAGGCCTGGCTACCTCCATTCAGAATGAGCTGACCCCTCTCTGACTTCATGTGCTGCTGACTTTCCCGTGGTTTATTTTACTCCAGCCATACATGTTGTCCTATATTTCTCTCAGATTTTTACTTGCTCTGTTTTAATTTCATTGACTTCCTGAAATCACACATATACATGCCTGCATTCATTCTCCCTCTCCCTTCATATCTCTCTCTCTGACACACACACACACACACACACACACACACGTTTGCTCTTTCCTCCTTTGATTCTCTTCCCTGAAGACCTTTTCAGATGTATTTCTGTACCCAAGCTGCCCAAGATGTTGCTCTGAATGTCATAGGTACTCAAAACATTCATGAGTGAATGAAATGGATGAATGACCAAGCGATGTCCTTGTTACATAATTTTATTAGAGAATTTAAACCACCATGACTGCCTGAGGTTTTAATTGGTGCACTCTCAGTACACTGAAAACATCAAACCAGGACATCGCTTTAATAAAAGTGAGAGAATGTTTAACAATTTAGAGTTTAAATAATGAAAAAAATAATAGGGGGGAGGAGATTTATGTCAATGGAGGAGAGGTTCAGCCTGCAATGATGAGGATGATGGTGATGATAAGGAACAACTTTCACCTGTTCATTTACTGCAGTGAAATTTGTCACTTTCATTTACATTCAGCACCAGGCAGCTGTTAATTTGTGATTTTGTTGGAAAATACTTTCAGAGAAATAGTTCACCATCTTTAGTGCTGTGTTCTCGAAATTTGTTTTCCTGAGCTGCAATCAAAGCAGGATAATTCTGTCATCAGAAGGCTTACCTTCTTCCCCAAGGACATTGGCATGTGGCCACTGTGAGGCTAGAAGGAGGGAGCACATGGGGATGGTGGGCAGCCAGCTGCCACAGCCTGTCGTAGGACCACTTCGGAGACAGGAGCTTCTTTTGCCTCTACCACGTGGCTTTGGGAAAGTCTCATAACTTCTCTGTGATAGTATCCATCTTATGAAGTTTCCATGAGGATTGAGGAAATACATGCAGAAGGTCTTAGAACTTTGTCTGGGATAACAAGACCTCAAACATTGTAGCTGTTATTAAGTGGGAGAAGATGTCTAGTGGTTAACAGTTGCCATCATTGTAGCAGATGAAAGATCTGAGAGCGGAGCATTTGAATTGACTGAAAATGGGAGAGACATGTTCTGATACACACAGGCATAATGCAGTACAGCTGTGCTAGTCTATACCTTATGAGTTAAAGGATTTGGTCCCCAAACAAATGGCTCCCCTTCCAATGCCAGCTACAAGTTGGGTCCCAGGCCGTTCACATTTCTGACTGACTGGCTTAAAGTCTGGGGCTTCCTGTGACCCCTCGGGTTAGATAATTCACTAGAGTGACTTTAGAAAATACTCTACTTATACTTATCTTTAAAGGATGTAAGTCAAGCCGGGTGCGGTGCTGTATGTCTGTGATCTCAGTGGTTCGGGAGGCTAAGGCAGGAGGATCATGAGTTCAAAGCCAGCCTCAGCAACTTCAGGGGCTGGGATTGTGGCTCAGTGGTAGACCGCTTGCCTGGCACGGGTGGGACCCGAGTTCGATCCTCAGCACCACATAAAAATAAAGGCATTGTGTTGAAACGAAAAAAAAGAAGGAATAAAAACACTATTAAAAAAAATATATGGGCTGGGAGTGTGGCTCAGTGGCAGAGTGCTTCTGGATTCAATCCCTGGTAAGAGATAGATTTAGTGTAAGTCAAGATTAGCCAATTGAAGGGACACACAGGATGAGGTCTGGGAGGGTTTCTATAGCCCTGTCCCTGTGGGATTAGGGTATGTCACCTTCCTGTCATATCCATGTGTTCTCTGACCAGAAGCAACCCTGATTTGGTGTCCAAAGCCTTTCTTGGGTGTTATTATATAGCAGTGATTGCGCATAGTGATGTGGCCGGTGATGACCCCCCTCGTCTCCCAGTCGGGGTGACTCAGAGCCCTTACCCTCTGATTACATGGTTGGTCTTTCTGGTGACCATCACCCACCTGAGTCAGCTCATCTTTTAGTAGAAACTCAGGTTTGATTCATGGGGCTCATGATAAGACATTCCTGTTACTCAGGAAATTCCAATGATGTAGTCTTCCTCACAGGAACCAGCCAAAGGCCAGTTAAATTCCTTACTCTACAGTATGTGTGTTACTTGTGAGACAGCAAGATTCAAGATGGTGGCCTGGGGAGGGGGCTCAGCTCTTTTCTGGTCTTGGTGTTGTTGCTCTTTCCCAGTGTCAGGCAGTAGCAACATGTCATTAGCCTTAGTGGTCCTAGCTCTCCTTTCTTTAGAACAGCTTTATTTAGTTGCATGGTAATTAAACTGTCTTGGGGGATTTTGTAGTGACCTTCTATTAAATAAGCCAAAAGACAGCATTTCTGAGCACGAGTCTTTTGAAATGTATTTTTGAAACTTCTTTGCCGTGCCGTATGATTACAAGAAGTTGCTAGCTGGCCAGAGCTATCTTTCTGGCTCCCAGAGGTGCCCTTCCCAGTAAGTGCATTCCAGATCTGGATGACATGGAATACTGCCTTAGGGGATGGACAGACGACCTCTCTGCTTCCTCCATCCTGCATTCTTGCCCACTGAAGGCCTGAGATCAGGTGCTCTTGCAGGCTTGGGATCAGATCTTTTCTCCCTGCAAACTCAGTAGTTCTTGATTCCATCTCTTCTTTGATGTCTGTAGCAAGTGTGGCTTCTTTTTTTTTTTTTTTTTATTAAAGGACAGAAGAAAAGACTTCTCCCGGAGGAAGAAGGGGACCCAGAAGGTGGAATCCCCAAGTGTGGCTTCTGTAGTCCATCTCTTAGAGTCTTTTTCTTTCTGTGCTACTCCAGGTTGCCCACTTAGGTGAATTTCACAGTACCGTTTGGTCCCTGCAATTACAAACTGAGTATTTTTAGAGACATTTTTATTTTAAGATATTGTTGTCCCCGTTCCCTGACAACACTCCATCCCCAACTTTTGTGGTCTAGCATTACCCAGAAGGGTGTAGGAACATCTGGTTAGGGCCTTAGAGGCTGAAGTACCTGAACTTAATACAAAGCTTGCAGGAAGGTTTTTTTTTTTGTGTGTGTGTGTGTGTGTACGCACGCACGTGCTAGCACAGGCATGCACTTCTAAGTCTTTGTGTGTGTGTGAAGTTGTAGTAAGAGGTGTAATATAAGCTTTACCATTTTCGAATGTATAGTGGTGTTAAGTCCATTCACATTGCTGCGCAATCATGGGTCACCATGTTCACTTCCGGGTCTTTTTCCTCTTCCTACACTTAAACTCCATACCCGTCACACAGTTCCTTATCCTCCCTCCCCTCAGCCCTGCCACTGTCATTCTACTTTGGGTTTCTGTGAATTTGATGACTCCAGGCCCCTCATGTAAGTGGAATCCTTTTCTTTCTTTTTCTTTTTCTTTTTTTTTTTTTTTTTTGTGGTGCTGGGGATTGAACCCAGGGCCTTGTGCATGTGAATCAAGCACTCTACCAACTGAGCTATATCCCCAGCCCCAAAGTGGAGTCCTTTTCGATTGGCTTCCTGGCCTAGTCTCTTCAAGCTTCATCTGTGTTGCAGAATGTGTCAGAAATTCTCTCCATCTTAAGTTTGAGTAACATTCCTGTGTATGTAAACACTGCATCTTGGTTTCTGTTTGTTTTTTGAGACAGGGCCTCACTGTGTCACCAAGGCTGCCCTCGAACTCCTGGGCTCACTCCATCCTCCCGCCTCAACCTGCCAAGTAGCTGGGACCAGAGGCGGGCTCCAGCGTACCCAGCTCCTACTGTGTCCTATTCACCTACTCATCGTTAGATGTGCGCTTGGATTTCTCCTACCTTTTGGATATGGCGGATAGTGCTACTATGAGCTTTGGTGTGTAAGTATCTATTCAGGTCCTTACTTGGAGTTCTTTGGGGAAATTTCTGGATTCTATCATTTTTTTTTTTTTAACACAAGAAAGTGAAAAAAATATCCACTTTTTATGCTATTAGTCTGACCTGGCAAATACTTCCTTGCCAGAGTAATAATAAACTCAGGTCACTTTCTGATGAGTGAGCCGACAGGAAGTTAGGAGCACACTGTTGTTATAGGTTGTTCATTGCCTAAGAGACCACCCCACAAATGGTGATGCTGAGTATGTAAATAAAGGTTCAGGTGTGATTGACCAGATGTATTTCCAGCTATCCCTCTGCTCATCATTAATCTGATACCGACATCCTTCATTGAGGTAGACGGTTTGCTGTGTGGTTGTATGACACATTTATTAAGAGCCTGGACTCTGGGATCGGACAACCTGGTTCTACACCCCAGCAGCTCCATTTACCAGCTGGAGAAATTACCTCACCTCATCACATCTCAGTTTCTCTATTCATATGATGGGGTTAGGAAGATAGTCCTACTTTAAACTCATAAGCCACTCTCAATAATGCCTGGTTCACAGTAGGTGCACAGTTAATATATTTTTCAGCAGTACTAATTATTAATATCGGATTTGAAATAATTTTTTAAATTAACAATAAAATGTAGACTGCAGACACTGTGACAGTGTGAAGTATCCAAGTATTCTTTTGTCTTGCTATTGGGGAATCCAAAGTGGTTCAACTTTTCTGAAAGCAATGTAGGAATGTTAATACTCCAGGAGCCTAAAAATATTCTTGTTTATCGGGTATCCTTTTATTCTAAGGAAATATGTTAAGTTACAAAAGGTAAAAGTGGAATATAGCTTATTGTGTCATTTTTATAAGATAGAAAAACTGAAACTAAATGACTAGCAGTGTGGGGTTATTTAAGTAAAACATGATATGTGTGTGTGCAATGGAGTACTCCTTAGATTTTCAATTGTGGTCATAATATATTATCATGAAAAAGTGTTCAAAATGTATTATGAGCTGGGTGTGGTGGTGCACACCTGTAGTCCCTGCTATTGGGAGGCCAAGGCAGGAGGATCCTGAGTTCAAAGCCAGCCTCAGCAATAGTGAGGCACTGAGCAACTCACTGAGACCCTGTCTCTAAATAAAATACAAAAGAGGGCTGGGGATGTGGCTCAGTGGTTGAATACCCCTGAGTTCAATCCCTGGTACCCCCCCCCCCAAAAAAAAAAAAAAAAAAAACAAACAAACCATATATATAAAAGCAGCTGCAAGAAATCAGGTGCAATATTTTTGTGATATGTGTGTGTAAATAATATACTGCTAAAGGACATGTTTGTGTGTAACACACACATCATCTTTTCCTATATATGGAGATAAATAGTTTGTGTATATGGAGATACATATTTCATATCTGTGAAGAGAGATTGTTCATACTAAACTCTTGCCAGTTGATAGCTGCAGGAGGTGGAATGATAACTGCTTTCTAAAATCTCTTTGTGTTTTTCCAGTATTTATCAAATTTTGGCATTGAACAAGTATTATGCTTCTGTCAGAGAGGGAAAAAAAAAAGCACTAACTTGACTTGCAAAAAGAAGATGCTGTCTGGGTATCTGAGGTTCCAAGACAGCAGTCCTCCAGGGAGAACCCAGCAGAGGCGCCTGTCTTACACTCTTACAGAGGTTTCCAGCACCCAGGAATGGACTCTCATCTCCCACCAGGGCTGGCCATATACCTGGGCTGTGGTGGGGACATGCCTCCGGAGCCCTCTACAGAGTCCTAGCCTGATGACAGGGAGCCCTTTCAACTCTGGCTTCAGGGATCCAGGACAGGCTTCTTCTCTCTTACGTGCCTTAGTCCTTGTGGTTTCTGGAAGACTTTCTGGAAGACTTCCTGACTGGGGCCCTGCAGGGTGTACAGAGAGTATTTAATCAGTCGTGATGAAAGCCAGCTTCTGCTGGATCCCATTTTTGGATCCCACTTTCCCGTCTCGTGAAATGTCCCTGGCATGCCTAACGCAGACATTTATGTCCTTGTAGTTTTCTGCATAAAATTTCCTAAGGGTAAAAATAAACTTGCTTGCTGTTCAGAATTGATCCTGAGCAATACATCTTCCGCTGGACATGGGCGCCAGATGGTGTTGCACCTCCTGCTGGGCTGATGAACAGGCCTTGGCTACAAACACCTTGAATTGCTCTTGAATCTTTCTGTGCACCTTCAACGTGAAACTCTGCCAATGGCAATTTGCATTTGTTTCTTTTTCCTTCCCTCTTTTGATTTGAGGAAGGAGAAAGAAGTGACACTTTTTGGAATAATTGTCTATAAGTTGGATTTGTTTTATTGTTGGTGTTATGAATATGTGTCCCTAAATAACTGTGTTATGCCAACTTCTGAGAAGAGTAAATTTTGTCTGAATTGTCCACAGGATAGCTTGAAAACCCATCTCTGCCTCTGTGTTAGATGTAGCAGGATGCTGATAGGTAGTAGTTTGAGGAAGGCTAGAAGAAAATAGTGCACCACTTATTTTATGGTGTTCCATGTGCATTCTTGATTGTTCTGGCTGCAATCTTAGGCAGAGACAAGGAGGCAGGTAGTAGAGAATGTTACATCTAAGTCCATCCACTAATCCAGCAGTGGCTTGAAAATAAGATGTCTGTCCTTGCACTCAGTAGTAGTAATAAAGGTTTGACTCAATCTGATTTTTTTTTTTTTTACATTAAGGATATTATGATTTGGATGTGAGATGTCCCCCAAAAGCTCATGAGTGAGACAATGCAAGAAGATTTAGTGGAGAAATGATTGGGTTGTGAGAGCCTTAACCTAATTAGTGAATTAATCCCCTGATGGGATGTCTTGAGTGGTAACTGAAGGCAGTTAGAGAGTGGCTAGAGGAGGTAGGGGCATGAATTTGGGATATATTTGTATCTGGTGAGTGGAGTCTCTCTCTCTGCTTCCTAATCATCACGTGAGCTGCTTCCCTCTGCCACACTCTTGCATCTTGAGCCCTGAGGAATGGAATCTGCTGTCTATGGACTGAGACCTCTAGAACCTTGAGCTCCCAAATAAACTTTTCCTCTTCTTCAATTATTCTGGTCAGGTCTTTTAGTCACAGCAATGCAAAAATGGACTAAGGAACATACTATGAAATAAATGAGGGGGGCTATTTAGAATCTATGAGTTTTGGTCTTGTCGCTGTGTATTCATATTCTCTCTCTCTCTCTCCCCCCCTCTCTCTCTCTCTCTCTCTCTCTCTCTCTCTCTCTCTCTCTCTCTCTCTCTCTCTCTCTCTCTCTCTCGACACCTAAATACCTCTGGGTACAGAGGGGAGAGTACAGTCCTGCCTCAACCCTTGGGGTAGATTCTGAAGTCTCACATCCCTCACCAGGCTTTCCTGCAGAAAGAGTAAGATCAGAGACCAGTTCTTTAGATCTGCCCTCACTGTGTACACTGGTGAAGGCCTAGGTGGAGTATCTTCCATGTGTATTTATGTTTCTATTTCATGCTGTCTAGTATTTTTGTGGTTCAGATGGCCCATGCCACCACAAGAACTTCACTCCTGGAAATAAGTTGGATGGTGTTTACCAGTATAGGTGGAGTATCTTTTCTTCTAAATGCTTGGAACAGGAATGTTGCAGATTTGGGAAAATTGGCATATGCATAATGAGATATCTTGGGGCTGGGACCCCATGAAATTCATTTGTGTTTCATGTACCCCTTACACACATAGCCTGAAGGTAGTTTCATACAATATTTTTGGTGTGTCTGCACTTAGGCTGCAACCTCTCATGTGAGGTAAGGTATGGAAATTTCCTCTTGCAGCACTTCAGTATTCGAAGCATTTCAGATTTTGGAACATTTTAGATTTTGAGATTAGAGATGCTTAATCAATATACAGTCTCTTGTCTGTGGGCTGAGTGGGTTGTTCAAGCTCTTGATGTCCAGCAATATTAACAGTGGGTGTGAGGGTCACATTTTATTTTCATGGCCTCCAATCTCATTTGTGCCCCAGAACACAGTGGGATCATGCATAATTGAGGTTACTAGCCTCTAGGACAGAAACACACTTTAGAATGTTGTTTTAAACACTTTGGATTTCTTCAGGGTTCCTGAAGCATCATTCATCTCTCACCTACCCAAGAGGGTGACTTGAATCAGAATTAGCAGCTACTGTGCTAGACTTGACTCCTTATTATTCATCCACAAACTTAAAATCCTTCTACGTTTTTCCACTTGAATTTGAAAGGAGTTTTAAGTATGAATTTTCTGTTTGGGAAAAGAATTTATCTTTTCTAAGGTCCTTTCATCTTTAGATTTTAGTCTGTATAACAGTTCTTCTTCTTCTTCTTCTTCTTCTTCTTCTTCTTCTTCTTCTTCTTCTTCTTCTTTTTTTTTTTTTTCTTAGTTGTACTGGGGATTAAACCCAGGGCTTCTGATGTGCTGCTAGCCACATGGTCTACCACTGAGCTACTTTCCAGGCCCTGTTTTCTTTTGGTTTTTAAAGATGGGATTGCCCAAGTTGATCAAGTTGACTTTGACCTTGGGATCCTCCTGCCTCAATCTCCTGAGTAGCTGTGATTATAGGCAGCACCACCACACCCAGCCAGTTCTTACTTTTTTTTAATCCTCTGAAGTTGGAGTATAATTTGCTAGAAGTTATGCTAGAAATTACAGAGGGAAGAAAGATCTAAGAAATGACCCAATAATACCCTGTTCTTATCTCCCTAAGGGGAGGTAGCATGTGGTTTGTAATTCATGTAGTTCTGTTACCTTCACCCAGCTTCTTGTAGAATGGGTGTCCTTTAGCCTTACTCTGGTAGGCATTCTTGTGCTCCCTTCTTTCTGCATTAAGCACAAGTGAATCCCATAGTAAGGTTTGCCTAGAGCCTTCGTAGGCATGATTTCTGTTTGGTGCCTGCTGTGTTTGCATGTTCATGGGTGTTTGTGTCTGTAAATTTTGGGAGAAAGTTTTGAACGGCTGGATGATCTCATTTCTGACAAATATTATTTA